GAGGTAATAGCGGAGGAGACCGGGTTTTTATTCGGCCGGGTGACCTGCGGATGAGTCTGACCGCGTCCTGTTTAGTGTGAAGCCGACTATAGCTCCTGGCCCTGGCTCCTTTACTTTTATTGGCTTGACTCTTTCGTCGGCTCCCAGAGTGAGGAAACTCAAACAACGAGTCCAAGGACTAGACGGAAGGAAGCAAATGGCGAGGAGGAAACTCTCTTATGACTTCCTCTCTCTTCGGTTAGCTTCTGTCAAGTATGGGCAAACGGAAATCGGTTAGTCTCCTGTCAAGTCTGGAGAATGGAAGCGAGGAATCACCAGACCATCCTCCGATGAAATCCTCAGACACTCGCCCCGCCCCCTTACTGTGTATCGCTCACTGATTGGACGATGCAGTGCATGCACTGATCTCATGCTTCTTGACATGAGAGCAGTTTCCCAGCGGAGTGAAGAAAATAAATGAAACTCACGAGAGTCACTCCTCAGTTTATACCGTGTTCTGTTTCAATTAATGTTTCATTTAGTTACAAATATGTGATATACCTGAACAACAAAGTGGGCAAAAATCATTTTATTCATTTTTTGGAAACATTTTCATCATCACTTTTTTCGCTTATACATTTTAAGAATGCCGTTTTTTGAGAATGAGTTCTTATTTTATTTGTATTTATTTGGGTCTATAACAGATGATACAAATGTTTGTGTCAGTAAATGTGTACTAACAGAGGCAGGGGTGTGTGTAGAAGCAACGGGGACAGAGCTGCTGTCAGACGATCAGCTGTGCGGCGTCATCACAAACGGAAGTCGCTTCACGTGACGCTCCGGAGGAAAGGACGTCCCATTGCTCTTAAAACTCATTTCCCTGCTTCTCGTGGTTTCCTTGCGTCCCTCCATGCTTCCCTGGTGGGAGGGACTAGACGCAGGGAAACCACGCAAGTGAGGGACGCAAGGAATCCATTTCACCGACCTAAGCCTGAGTCTCTGTGGAGTCTCTGAATGATGGAGAACGATCCTCTTTCTCTCATCCTGTCTGAGGATCCGATGCTGTTTGTTTCCTCTTCTCGTTGTAAAAGGTGCTTCATCTTTCATTTTCCATCATCCCCAAGTCCTGCTGAATTCACCGTACTTCTTAAATACATAAAGTCAAACTCAGTCCAACTGAAAGTAGTAAATACATTTGTTTTCACAGTAAATGTTGTTTCTCTCCTCAGATCACACGTCCTCTCTGTGAGCTCTGGGGATTACCCATGATGCTTTGTTGTGAGTTGTAATGATGTGTGTGTGTGTGTGTGTGTCCACAGTGAGTTTGTGTCCTGGCTGATGGACATGGGGGAGACAGGAAACCCAGAGGAGGGGGTTCACTTGGGTCAGGCTCTGCTGGAGAACGGCATCATCCACCACGGTATGGTTTCTACTGCCTCTCACACCTGGTTTGATCTTTGTTAGTTTTCCCAAATCTAAAAGCAAACCTGCCAGAGTCTCATTTACGGTGAGCTGCAGGATGGGAAGCTCAGATTACCTTCTCAAATAAACTCCGTAGTGTTCTTGAGTTGCTCGTTGTTTAGGTCCTTCTCTCCCTTCTCAAATCATCTGTATATTATTTCTTGAGGATTTCAATTGGCCTTATCTTTTATTTTCAGTCACAGACAAACACCAGTTCAAACCCGAACCTGTTCTTTATCGTTTCCGTTACGACGACGGCACGTACCACCCGCGCAGCGACATGCACGACGTCATATCCAAGGTAGAAGCCGATCGTCTTCACATTCAAATCACATTGAACTCGTGTATAACTTAAAACCTCTCCCTGGTTCCTCTCAGGGCGTCCGTCTGTTCTGCCGTCTGCACAGCCTCTTCACTCCCGTCATCAGGTACGAGGACAACTTTCTTTTTGACTACTCATCTAAAAAAGAGGGAAATATGACGGTGAACTATGAGTTAATTGATTAACGAGGAGAGGAGGACAGATGGTGATTCCTCTGCCTCTCAGACACAGATGTGGAGAAAACTGTCTTTCAGAAGTAGCTTAGGAACATGTGGTGCGCAGACACTATGAGGAACCCTTCTTCATTTCAATACATACATGTTCTTCTGCTGCGTTCCACTCATCAGATGCTCCTGTTGGCCAGCGCTGTAACACATTGTATTGCTGTGATTAGTTGATGGAAGGAGATGGCACATTCTTTCCTCCTCTGCTGAGTCTTCACAGTATCTTTGGGTCCAATGCACCCACTACAGTTGCATATCAGTGCTGTTATAGAGCAGTTTAAAGAGTCCATCCAGTCATAGTGGTCACATCACGGTGAGTGTGACCGACAGCATGAAGTTCTGCTGGAAGTAAACATCGATCTCTGTTTTTTAAAATGATGCAAAATACAGATTTCTTTATTCAACACTGCTATTGTTGAAGTTCTGGTCCTGATTTAGAGCTATGTGCCTCAATATGTAAGCCCCCAGTGAGTCGTGTGGGTAATTGGTGTAAAAACTTAAAAGCAGAAAATAAAGCATGAAACTGAACCCTGGATGTGAAGCAGGTGTTTTCAGCTCGTGTGCTGAATCCTCTCTTTGTCCAACAGAGTTAGAGGTAATCTCATTTTAAAGGAGAGATTCTCTGGCATGCTCTGTGTGTGTGTGTGTGTGTGTGTGTGTGTGTGTGTGTGTGTGTGTGTGTGTGTGTGTGTGTGTGTGTGTGTCTCTGGTTGTGTCTGGCTGTGGGACAGCTGCGGGGCTTGAGCTGGCGGTTCGGGCACATTATCCCTCTTTTACTGCTTTGTAAGGGAGCCCCAGACACATTACAAATGGTCAGCTTTAATCATCATGTCAGCGGCCTTCCCGGTAGCCACACAACCGACATTCGGTGTTAAAGCCAGGCTGGAAGAGGGAGAAGAAGTACGCTGAGGAGGATGTTGACATCAGATTCTGCTTCATAGCAGCCAGACGGAAGCATCTGGATCCACGCGTAAATATCGTCGACATGGCAGAGGGGCCAGCAGCTGCTAAACGATCTTAACAAAACGCTTTCGCAGGGGAGGCTTTACTGAAGGGGGGCAAATATATGAGGGCAGTCAGGGCGGATGCTGGATTTATGGTGGTTACACATAAGGCGTGAAATCTGCAATGACAGTTAAATGGGTTTATTTTATATGCCGCTCTTTTCAAACAAAGACCTTTGTGAGTGGTGCCGCCTTCATCACTTTCAGACGACTTTTGCAAAGTGAGATTAGTTCATCACAGAGATAGTGGACATAACAGGCTGCTATTGTGCTGCACAGAATGAATTACACGCTGTTTTTGTGTCAGAGTTGGCGTTTAAGGCCAGTCGTGCAGGCCAGATCAGTGTTAGTATGGAAATGTTCGTATCTGACTCGTGTGTCCTCTTCACACCGGGGTCTGGAGAGGCCCGAACGGCGAGCAGCGGGCCTAAGTTCGTGCTCTATCACAATGATAGGTGGTGTATGGCCGCCCTACCGCAATAACAGAACAAGATATTTAGCAGCAGAGAAAGGTCTGAGAAAGACAGATGAAGTTATGAGGCGCTTTGATCCGGGAATCAAGCTTCGATAAATATTAAACAAAGACCCTTTACACGTGTGTATTATGATATATGGCGTGTCCAACTCTAGAATAAGGAAATTACCAGAGAAAATGATATCAATAAATTTTCTAAGTATAAACGTTGATTACGTTTCGATTTTCATTCAGGAAAGCTGGGCCTGCTCTTTTTTCAGGAGGCGTTTGTGTGCGTCCGTGCGCGCACACGTGTGTATGTGTGCAGAGAGAGAGAGGGGGAGAGAGAGAGTTGTAAACGCAAGCACAGCCGAGCCCTGGAGGTGTACAATTTATGTAATCTGAGTGTGGAAATGAACTGGGTAATTTATTGGAAAACACAAAGTCAGGAAGATTGGATCAGTACAGCCTATCCACGGGCTCCTATCCATCAAGTTCCAATTAACAACCTAACCATTGAGTTTTAATGGCTTTCCAATCTACTGCCCTGATAGACTCATCAATTCCTCGGGGAGAAATTAAGAAAATCGACCGCCCCTCGGCGTTTCAGTGTCATTCTTCACAGCAACTATATGTCAAATTAAAAACACAATTAAAATTTAAACTGTTCCAATCAGACGGTGCCCCGCAACCTATGTTTCACTTAATAGAACTTTGATCAAAATCTGATGCTCGCATTCAATCAGCAAAGCAAATGGGATGGGTTTAAAACAAGATTTCCTCTTCAAGAAGTGTCAAAAGAGTTGTTCCAACAAACCAACTCTGACGCGTCACATCACTTGTGTTTGGCCTCTGATTGTCCAAATCTGCTAGTATCTGTAACAGGATGCATTTGTTGAAGCACAAGAACAAGAGGTGGTTTCATGGGAATATTTATATGCACCTGTTCACTTTTGTCCCATTTTGCTGAAGCAATCCATGAGGATGAGGTTTACTTTTTGGTGATTTGTAAAAAAAAAAGAAGATATGTGAGGATTATATTACTGTTTTACTTCGTCCATTGAAATATCACTGATTCACGATCTCAATATTGGAAGGAAACCTTACCAAAACCTTCAAGGACATCAGACAAACTAACTTCTTGAAAGGTTCCTTTGGCCTCTGCTATGACAAAGCCAATTTTATTTCTCGAAATTGATGCTTTATACATTCCTCTATGACTAACTTTAATAGCATGGGTGGTTCTAATGGGGGTTGGGGGGCAACTCTGGCCATGTCCCTGTAACAATGAGCTTTGACCCCTCTGTGTGCCCCCCCCCCCCCCCAAAAGACGAGTTTATAATGATAATACAATTGTATGTTAGCATTGTGCTAGCCTCGCTAGCTAGAATGCATTTTGTTTTCTCATAATGTAATAAAAAAATGTCACTACTGAAACAAATTATGTCACAAGAAAAGAAAAACCCACCCATGATGGTATTTTTTGTTTTTATGGTATGACTTTATACAAAACTAAAACTGTTAAAATCTCCAAAACTGTCTTTGTCTCTTTTGTCTTGCATTAAATGTGCCCCTCTCATAACATAACTGCCCCCTACACCACTGTGTCCTAGTCCAACACATGTGAGAGGATGCCAGTGGCTACAGAGGCTAGCGTTACGCAAGGTGGTCGGGCCACTTGTGTGTTTCCAAACTGGCACTAAAACCCACGATAGAGCTTAAAATTACCCATTCAGCTCTCCATTTTAATGTAACACACTGAACGCAGTACCCGGTCACGTGCGTTTGCCCCCGTTCCCACAAATGTACTTTATCTGATTTTGGCCCCGCTCCCCTCACTGCTTTGCATGCAGATGTCGCACAAATGGATATTATCGAGTGGTAATTTTTTCAATTTATGCGCGCAAATCAAGGTCATATACGCTGCAGCACGTGAACGTTGCTCTTACTTGACGCAATATGATGCAGACGTTTACGGATCGATATGTGCCAGAGGAATAATGCCATAGCAATCTATTAATTTGCGGTAATGGGGCCGTGTTGAGTGTGCGTGGTAGGTACACGTCAATACTTGGGTAATCTGACGATATTTGAATGAACCCTTTGTCTCTTGATGAGGTCATCATATAGAGTTTATAGCAGACTGATTCATTTTCAATAACTGTTAGCCTGCAAATGAAAACCGAAAATGACCTTTGAGGAAAAGTTAATGTAAAATTATGTGCATCATAAACTGTTATATTTTGAATTTCAACTTTCTTCTTAAATGTTTTTATGTTTGTGCCAACCAAGTGCAGCTTGTTATTAGATGTATTTATGCAGGGAAATTCATTTTAATAAGTGTCCTCAAACGAAGCTGTCAATAGTTTCCCTACCAGCACACTACAGGGGAATTAATCTGTGTCGTTGAGTGTTGGAATTTGATTAAAATATTCAGTTTCTCTGCAGATGTCAAAGTGTCCACCTGGACTCTGTCCCACTATCAAAGTCTGGGTGTGTTTTTTTTTACTTGGATTCAAACGCATAAAGAAATGTTAACACTTTAATTAAAATACTACTTTCCATCTTGGTTATTTTTTATTATTGATTATTATTGATCATTAACATTTACTGTGCCCAGGTTAAAGAAGGCATGAGCAGTGAGTTCACCTGCTCTTTCATCAAAAATGAACTTCGGTCAAAAGTAAAATAACATAAATACTTAATGCAATAACAGTAAATAAAGTTACTTATACAAAACAAAACATTTCCAGGATCTGGTTGAGTATTGGCATGTCTAACTTGATCCTGTCTATAATACTGTATGGATGTGATTCTGAAACTGTTCCTTCTTTTAAATGTACCATCACTTTAGGAAGGCAGCCAATTTGAGTGCACATTTATTAAGTTCCATTGATTTTCTCAAATTATGCAATATCGTGGGACGAGTTGGAAGCAATTAAAGTCTTCCTATTCGCTCAGAGGTTACTTATTTAAAAAAGTGTTAGAGCCAGTTTGCATGAAAACGAACATAATTATGTAAATGTATTATTGTTAAAGCTTTTTTAACCTTAAACTGCATTATTTCATTTATTGTGTTGCTATTTACAACACTATGTGTTCGCTCAAACAGATCACGTGTCCAGCGGCACCTGTGGTCGTCTTTTACGAGTTCAATCATCTATCTCTAAATTCAAACTTCACACCTTCTTGTAAACTTTTTTCCTCTACTAGAGCAATGTATGATTGTTATATCAAACATGTTTTTTATATCCTGAAATAATTTGCCCACCAAAAGTGATTTCTGTAAGGAGACGGTTTTCATGAATTCGTCACAAAATGAAACGAATTTCAGAAAGTGCTTGAAATAAAATGAAAATAATACAATTTGAATGAAATAACAGTTAAATGGAAGCATCAAACACTTGAATAACAAGGTGGAGATAGTTGACATATATCCTGACAACATTCACCTTCCACCTCACACTGAACCGAGACAACACACACACGGCCATCAGAGAGGGAGATAATTTTCTTTTAAAAAGACAGCAGCTCAGTGTGTAATGTCCTCTTCTGACTACATCACCCATAATTGTAGGAATGGTGGCAATTACGCATCTAATTGACCGAGACACTTTTAATGTAAAATTACGTTTTAAAGTGCATAACACCAAGATGATTATAGAAACCTATGCCTGCTCAAACAAGTGTGGGTTTCAATGTGTATATTATAATGACGTAAATTAATTGAATTTTCTTTTTTTATAAAAACGAATTGTCTCAGGACATAATTTCGTGAGAAAATGTTGAATTCTCTGGTGACAAAACTATTTCAAATATGATTATAGAGTGACTCCATTCTCCTCTGGACATAGCTGGTGATCCACAGAAGTCATACAATATAACCTAAAATGTAAGGAATATTCTCCATTTATTTCACAACATGGTTCAGCAATACAATATCAAAACGTTTTTACTGTACAAAGGAGAAGTGGCAGCTCCTCTCCTCGGGCCTCATTAAATATATACATTTACATATTTTTTACATCAGTGTATTCGATATTTTTCCACTCCTGTTCAAAAACACAAAGTAGATTAAAAGACATTTGGAGCTCACACTTGTGCTTTAAAGTTGGTCCCGGTAAAGGGAACAAGAGTGAGAATCACTAAACATAAAGCTACATGGGTATTTTACAGTTGACAGTGTCTTGATTGTCCCCGTCAAGCGATTTAAAAAGGAACCCAAAAAAAAGGAAATTACAACAAAGCCTCATCAATACCCAAAGTCAAAAGATGATAAGACATGTTTTGTGGATTCATTCATTCACAGCAGACCGTCAGTGTATTGCACATCACCGTGTAATGAGTTCTGAAAATGTAAAAGTAGAATATAATTGTATCAGCTGAAAACAAATCTGGCGCCTCTTGGCCACCATTTTTTTTTTGTAAACAACAAAAATAAATGGTTACAGTTCTAGAGTTGGCCTGTCCCGAAACAGTCATGTGAAAAAACTATAGTGAAAAAATAAAAAGACCACTCATCAGGCTGCAGGCAGTGTAAGCAGGTGGACTCCTGAGGTGATATTTAATAATAATAATAATAATAATAATTTAATTATGGGATTTGAGTTGTCGAATCACGTGTAAACGGTACCCTTTTGGAAAATGACACAATGTATTTGCCAAGAAAAAGGTCCATATAGGCCTGACAGTGTCTCTTGACTTTGTGATTTTCTTCATTCAGTCAGTAGAAAAATATTAGTTTTTTTTTTTTTTTTAACTTTTCGGTTGATTTTGAAAACGCTTGTCTTTTCAGACCGGTCTGAGCAGCGGCATGGAGGTGAGCATGGGATGGGAGTAGTAGACCCCGGGGTGTGGGAAGGTGAGCAGCGGCTGGCTCACGGGCACGCCAGCCCCGCTCTCTGAGACCGAGTTCTCGTGGTACAGGATGGGCACACGGACTATCCTCTGCGCCGCTGCGTGGCTCAGGTTGGCGGCCTCCAGCTCCGCGGCCAGCTGCCTCTTCCACTTGTTCCTCCTGTTCTGGAACCAGATCTTCACCTGGGTCTCCGTCAGGTGCAGAGACGCGGCCAGGCCGGCCCGTTCCGAGCTGCTCAGGTACCGCTTCATGTCGAAGGTGGACTCCAGCTGGAACACCTGGCTCCGGGAAAACACCGTGCGCGTCTTCTTCTTACGGCACGGCTTCTTGTCGTCGTCCCTCTTCTTCCACTCCTCCAGCTCGTCTTTTTTGGCTTCCTCCGTGTCGCTCTCCTCCAGGATTATCTCGTCGCCACTTTTGTTGTTGTTGTGCTCACTCTCATCGTCGTCGTCTTTGACATCCGGCTCGGATTTTAGAACCAGGTCCGGCGAGTCTCTGTCAGTGCCCGAGGTGGGAGAGCAGTCTCTGGCTCCGAGTTTGTTTAAGACTGAAATAAAGAGACGGGGAGATGGTCATTAACATGGGTCCTGGTGGGATTTGATCAAATAATTGATACTGGACAGCTTGTGGTTTTTGCATCTAAGTGGTTATAAATGGTGCCAGAAAATATATTTCTGCTTGTCACATAAACGTAAACCATTTTGTATTACAAGAGGTCACTGACAACACAGTGTTCAAATACATTTAAATTATTATTTAAAATATAATTTGTAATAGAAAAGAAATATTTGAAATATCTATCTGGTCTGCTTTATTTGAACAAATCAAAGTACAATCACGCTCATAATTGAATAAGCTTTTATTTTTAAAATGATGTGTGTTCTTTGCATGAAGGCATGATCGTGCCAATATCAGGGTGTTTTAATTCCCTGGTGAATAAATCACAGAAAGAAGCAGGTAAAAACTCTGTCAGTGACCAATAAGCCTCTGGGGTAAGATGTTCGCAGTGAGCGCCAATAGACAAATCAAAAGCACGCTGCGCATCGTCACCCTCATCCGATGATTTGACGATGTCTGCTTCATTTTATGCACAGTGTCTCACTTTATTGATCTATTATCCCGCATCGTGGCATAACAAAATAGGCCTTCATAAAGGACAGCGCGTCAACTCACTTTACCCACTGGTGAGGTAATTCAATGCACGTCATATTATTTTCACATCAACAAAACCAACCAATTCCTCTTTATCGAGAACAGTTCTTAGAGGGAAGTGAAATAACTGTAGTCTGACAACATTTTATGTGTCACAAAACTTGTTGGAATTGTTTTGTTTTTTTAAGTAATTAAGTTTGTCCTACATATTCTAAGAGACTAAACTCTAACATCAATACATAATTGAATGGCTAAAAGTGAGAAAATGACTTGCACACAAGTGAGTCTACAAAATGTGAGGAATAAAGTTTTGTATTTACCTTCGGCTCTGTGTAGGTGGGCAGATTGGCTGAGTGCGTAAGGGTACCACCACGCCGAGGTGCGCTCCAGGTAGTGAGCCGGCAGACTGAACCTCTGTGCCGACAGGTCGAAGCGGGGAAAGTTGAAGTCTCCGACCTGGGAAAGGGAAAATCCTCCCTCCAAGGCCACCTTAGAGGCAGTCAGTACGGGCTTGGGTTTGGACGGTTTGCTATCACAGTTCAGCAGGTTCTTAATAAAGAAAGGAGAGTCCTTGGCCGAAGCGCACGTCTCTTGCGTTGTCTCTGGCATCGCTGTATTTGTGGTCTGAACGCAGAGGACCACGGAAGCAGGAATCAAAAGAGAAAAACGCAAGGCTGACTTACAGACAGTCGATATCCAGGCTGCGAGGAGTCCCTGTTTTATTCTTCTCAACGATTTAACGCAGGAGACTCGGTTTTCACAACTGGAGAGAGCGTCAAAACACGCGTCCTTCTAGGCTAGAACAATAATCAAATCAAATGTTTTAGCGAAAAAAAATCATGTAGAAACATGGAGATGTCTCACTCCGGGCTCTTTCGTCAAAACGCAAACTGGGTCCACCGTGTCAGTCAGTCTGGCGTCTGATGCTAATGATGAAATAAAAATGTCATCCAAGTTAAATGCGGAAAGTATAGGCGATTGGGCATGTACAATGGCAAATGGGATTAAGGGAAAGACGTTGGAGAGAGAGAGAGAGAGAGAGAGAGGGAGGGAGAGAGAGAGAGACCGTCCTCCCCCTGTGCTGTGGCTGCAGGCTGTGTGTGCTCGACTGTTATTGGTCTCATACAGTCCAATTAGGCAGCAAATGAACACAGGGCTGTTAGCGCCAAAAAGGAAGGTTTGGGATAAACGCCTCATCAAACAACTAAACATTACAGACCGACTGCGGAGTTACTCAAATTCCAGGGTAAAAATAGTAGTTAAAAAATAGTTAGCGATACATTTTTAAAACCACTTTCACTCAGGCAGCAGGTGCTTGGTTGATTATTTGTATTTTAATTGGCTATTTATGAACACATGATATGAGTTGTGATAGTAGTATATTTAAAATGAGCCCAAATGTTATGTTTTAAAAAATTAAAAAAGAATAGTCTGTATAGGGTTAACGTTTGCATTGATTAGCCAAGGCCCAAATGTAATGTTTTAAAATAGTGAGTCCATTCAGACAAAATCCCACTGCCATGCAAACTCATAATACAATTAAGTATCAACTAAACAAAAATAGAACAAAAGTCTTGGTTTTCAGTGCTATTTCTTTAGTAAAAAAAAACTCACCCTTTCTTCTGCAGACTTTCATATTTATCCTAACTTGACTAAATTAAATCAAACATAAGTGTAGGCTCATCATACCAAAACTCTAACCATCAAACACTCCCAAAATCCTTTTCTTCTTAAGACTTCTAGACACAAAATGAGAAAAAAGGCCTGAACTCAGGCTGCAGCTATACTCCATGCGTCACCAATGGGCGATTAGATTCATATTTCTAATTCATTGATTTTCAACAAGGGCCACTTCCACACTGACTGCGGGTCGCACAGTCATTTATTCCTCCCTAATCGATTTGGTTAATTCATCCCTCAGATTGCACTCTTTGTAAATGTGCTATGTATATTCACTCATTGATATTAATTGACTTGTAAAAAAAAAAACAGCCCTATGGTTGGAAGCTTCTGTGGAAGAAGGACGGGGAGACAGCGACCTCTGTGGGTCTCAAGAGGGAACTGCACGTGTGTGCTTAAAGTGTTCACAGTGTGCGTGGAGCATGCTTGTATTTATCACGGTGTGGGGAAAAAAATATCATACTTTTAAGTTTTTGGGAATCCCATTTGGAAGCTAAACTGGTCGTACTAAAGAAACCACTAGATTTTAAGTAAGTCTACAGGAAGTGCATGCAAGTAAACGCATTGGCCTCCAAAGTGATAAAAAAAAATGCTGTTGTGAGACCAAAATACATTAACTGGTATTTTTTAAATATAGCAGCCATGTCCAATACAACAGCCTTCACATTGGTTACCTAATGGAGATGTACTAATTTCAGTTATGAAACATCATCACCTGTTACCCAAAGATGTTAATTAGCCATATGATATGCAGTCATAATAGAGGGTGTCAGTGACAAGGTAAAGGTGACATTAGCAGCCACATGTAATTAACGTGTGTTATTCATTTAGAGAGCTGCATTAGTGGACATATCCTGTTACTGTGATGTAATTATCACCTTTCCTTACACACTCATCATCACAGGTATTTTATGGCACCCTCAGACTGAGGTGCAACATGTGTGTCTTATAGGAGCAGATATCCTGTTAGAATAACATGCAAAGAATCTACCCAAATGTGTTTGACACTCATTTGCGAATATGAACAGTGCCAGATTTTAATCATAATACATCACAATTTCACTCACATTATTGTAGTATTTATATTCTTCTACGCTCCACAACACAACTATACACAGAAAATAAACTACCGCTAATTCTTCCCGACAGTTTGTATTGGATCCTTATTCATTTAGAAGTGCTTGACTTCCTGAACTAATATTGGGAAGTCAAGATTAGTTGACTTCCTAATTTTTACATATCTGATACTTTTCACAATTATTTGACCCCAGAATTATTATTGTGTTTAAGGTGTTTACTTCATGTGAGATCTGATATCTACAATTTAACAATATTATTTAAAACATTTATCACATGGTGCAAAAAGAAAAAAGGTGGCTGTTTTGCAGCCTATTTGAGTTTTGAGTATGTACATCACAATGTACACAGTATTATAATCATTGACGACCTTTACTACACTCATATAAACATTGCTAAATATGTCAGCAAAGCAGCATAAAATAAATTCTAAATAAAGACAAAATATATTGCTCCTGTCGTCAAAATTAAGATTACTGTGAATAATCTTAATAATTGAAATCATGTTTCAAAAGAACGTCGGTGGGCTCTGGTGGATTAAGTGTAGGAATTCAAACACAGTGAGAAGCTGAAGCCAGCTGAAGGTCTATTTGACTAAAGTAGTGCATCAAATGCAGATATCGCTACCCTCCTCTCCATTATCATTTTAACACTTGGACAAAAGTGACTATTGTAATATTTACTTCATCCCTAGGTTGTGTGTTTGAGAAGTCCAATAGATTGTTAAGGTTTACGCGACAAATAATAATTTACCGCAATGCTTTAGCACTCCATAACAGGGGTTAAAAACCACAGCTGATGCTAACCCTGAAAATAAACTGTACAAACTAAAACCCTGTGATACAAAAATCTAATATTATGCATTGATTAGAAACATGCAGTGGACCTTGCCCAGAAGCCACATCGGCCTTCTGAATGCTCCATAAGTCTATTTTTGTTGCTCCTCGGGTAGGTTACTATGACTTTTATATTATTTATTTCAAAGCGCCCAGATATTGATTATTTCACAAGGAAAAATGACAAATGGCAGGAGGGAATGACACGGTCAGCAGGTTCTATTAGAGAAATGATAGTGTTGCTCGTGGTTTGTTAAAAGGTCCAGTTTAGATACTTTATAGGTTTACATCCATCATCGTCTAATGACCTATTTGATGAAAAACACGCGCTCGGGTGACAACGGCCCTGTGCAGCCAACTTCGCTTTGTAATTGCTCCCATATTAAATATAGATTTTTGTTTTGATATCTTGTGAGAATTCCTTTCTGTTGGTCAAAATTGTGATAGAAGACATGGATGCAATGGCAAAAGCTCAGGAGCGAGAAAACTGGAGGGGAAATGGGAGAAATGGGTGGCGTGGAGGTGTTGACAGTGAGGTCTAAGGAGTAGTATTCAGCTCTGTTATAAGTATTCAAATAATACCCTATTACTATTATTATTAGTAAAGGTAAGTAGGTATTATTGAAGAAATATGCACTTAACTACTCAACAGTAAAAGTAGTCATTTTATTGATATTCTTTGTACATGATATGAAAGTAGCTCACATAGTAATTGAATATAACTTATTTTAACAAAATGTAAGTATATACAAAAAGAATGCATCAAGTTACACAAATTGGTGCTTTTGAATCCTCTGAGTAGCTAGTAGCTAAAGCTAGCAAATGCAGTACTGAATAAAGTATTCAGATACTTCATCCACTCGTAAAAATGCTACATTCCAAGTAAGATCCTGCATTTAATATGATATTTAAAAAGAGTGCACGTATTTGTGGGGTTAGGAAGTATTAATCACTATAACCTGTCCACGCTGTATCCTTCTTGCACTTTTAACTGGACACTCCTGTTGGCACGAGCCATTAAACCATTGAAGGCCACACTGAGATTGCTTTAGATTTAAGTATTGCATTTAACTTGTAAAGGAATTGGTGGCCCTCCATTGACCCGGCAAGCTTTAATTGGGATTGTGCGAGTATTGATTGTAAGTGGCTGGGCGAATCTTGAATTACAGCCTGATTAGCTTTTAGTCGGCCCTTTGCACCAGCCAGTCGAAGGAGCTCAATGTCATTCAGGTTGGAACACTTCAGCGGACACTTGACTACAGGGAATCTTGTTACTTCCTGTGTAAACAGGAAACAGCATGTATTTAAGGAGGGGAATGACAGATCTTCTGGCAAATGTACGGTAGTCTTGCTGTAATTTTCCCTCATGGTCACTTTGAGAAACATCATAACTGAGCATGTGCCTTTTAGATATAGGCATATAAGAAATGCATTCTCCTTTATATCTCTCCTGTCCTGATCGTATCCACATTGTATCCCTCGTTCTCTTCCTTTATTGTTACTCAGCAGAGATGATGACCTCTGTATGGTTTGGATGGGAGCAGTCACAGGAGCGATGTACCTTTTTTTTCTCTATTATGAGCAGCATGGTCCGAGCCCTCCAGGCACCCAGCCTCAATATCCAGCGTCTGTACCTTCAGACACTCTGCCGTGGATCTTCAGCTTTTACCCAGCCTGCCTGTATGTCTCATTACAAGTCGGTAATCTGGAGAGGGCAACAGAAAAAGTTCTCATCAGTGTCAGTCTGAGATATAGATATGGGCCGGGTAACAAATGGCCAAATGCACAGGCAGCAGAGCAGACCATCAATAAAGCAATTTCTTGTGTCATAACAGCCACGCTTTTCCTAAAGCCAACCTTTCAAAACTTTTCCCTCTGCAAATCGCTGCAGCCCCACCATTAGAGTCCTGCCTTGTGAATTTAATGGATTCCGTACAAATAATATTCCACCATAATGGAAAAGGTTGAAGTCACTGAAGACAGATGAAGTCATAAACACGTATAATTGAGAATCAAAGACCGATAAATTTTAAACTGCTATCCATTTTCTCTTTTTAGATGATGATCTATGTCAGCACAGCTCCCGGAAAATGGAAGAGATTATGGGGGAAATTATAACAATAAATTTTCTAAACATACACCTTGATTATGCTTCGATTTTTTGGAGGGGTAGAGGGCAAGGGAGGGGGGTTGGAAAGAAGGCTGGGATTGCTGAAAGCTTGCTGGCTAAATGGCACCATAAAATAGGTTCCCTGCTCTTTGCCTGCAGAGCGTAGGCATGCCTCGAGGTGTGATACCCCCCCCCTCTAAATGGGGGAAATGAATTGTGTAATTTATTGCAAACGTGCACACAGTGAGATTAGATCAGCATATCCCATCAAAGGAACAACAATCAATCAGCCTCTAGTTAACAGCTTGAAACACATAAACCAGGGCACCTAATGGCTTTCCAATTTAACAGATTGATAGACTTATCCGGTCCTAAGGGATGAATTAAGAAAACCGGGTACTTTCACACAGGCACTGGCACTTTTGACAGGACCTTTTACCCCCTTCTAGCTTTTTTTTTACCATCTTTGCTCCTGAATATAGAGATAAGGTTAACCTGAAAATAAAGAGAAAGTCAGTTTTCCCTCTTTTATTTTTTTTCCCTTTTCTGTTTGAGGAAGCACTCCACAGCTGATTTGTTATTCAGATGAGGCGGGAGTGGAAGTGTGTCAGATGTGGAGAATGGGCTCATTTTAATGACCTGATTATCGCGGGTCATTTGGAACTGTGAAACCAAGGGAGCTATTCAGAGCCACTTTACAATATCTAAATGTGACCCGGGCAACCCATTCAACCAAATACGTAGTGAAAGAAAAAGAGGAACTTGTTTGTTTCATGACTTATTAATCACATAATTCACTCGTGAAAATTAATCAGCGCAAACAAATATTAAAGGAATAGTTTGAAATGTTGGTAAATACACTTATTCTCATAATTGCCGATATAGCACTAGAGTTTTCACGGTAGAGATGTGGATTGTGCCAGCAGCAAGGAGGCTTAGCATAAAGACAGGAAGCTTGGGCTTATTGCCTGCATGCTTCTATCCAAAACTAAAACAAAACGTTGAATTTAAATAGTTAATATTGTACCTTTACTTTGTGCAAAGACAAATATTCAAATTGTATTCGGATGCACTGGACTTCTGTTGGCTGCTTTATGCTATGCTATGCTATGCTATGCTATGCTATGCTATTTCTACTGGCTTAAGCTACATATTTACTGTACAGATACATTTGTGGTATCAATCTTCTCATTTAACCCCTGGCAATAAAAGCATGTTTACCTAAATGTTCTATTATTTGTCTAAGTACAATCTTTTTTGTATGCAATATTTGTTTACATACGTTTGCCAGATCATTCTGTATCTTATTGTACTGTACCCTGACATAAATGAATGAGTAGTTTTGGGTATATGCACAAATACATCTTTAACACCAAATGTTTCAAACTAAACTGACTATACTGAATCATGATGTCCAGGGAACAAATCAGTAGGTTTTAGTAGTGGAGCTCCCCTTACTGGTGGCTGAGAGCCCCGTTGGCAGCACAGCCTGGTTAAACCCTTACTGAATTATGGTGTGATAACTCAATGCTGGGACAGGGACAGGCTACTATTTACTCTGAGCTGCAGAGATTCAAAAGTTGCTTAGCACCACAACAAGGAAAAGTTCAGAAAGTCTAAGAAAATGTTCGCAATGTCCAGGCAGAACGCAAACAGGCTTCATAAGCAGATACAACTTGTACCACAAGGTAAAAAAGGACTTAGACGACGTTATCCCGTACTGTGAAACGGTTATTATATATCAACAAAAAAACGTCAGAGTAATATTTATATGATATTTCTGAAGGGCCGGAGACTATTCACTACTTTGTTCCTGTGTGTGTGAATGCAGTGTTCGAATCAGTTCTTACACAGGTTTACTTTTAGACTGTTTGAACTCAATCGTAGACTGAAGTGCATCGGAACAATGGTGTTTTCAAAACAAGTAAAAGGTCGGAAACTATGAATTTTTAATCTGAAATTAAATACATAATTTAAATCAAAGAATGTGAAATGTCAACCCGAACAGAGAGAATTTCAAGCATTCTTAGAAGGTTAACCGACTGTACTGTCCTCTTAAGAGCTTGGCTACAGACCCAGAGCCTTGACCCAGGACACTAGTGTAATGCACACTCTGTGTCACTATATTATCTTGTCTACATCCACATCGACAGACAGCTGATCTCTCTGCGTCACTGCATAATTAAAGGAGCTGTTGGTATCAAGGATGTGACCCTGAAGGGATGAGAAAGTGTTACCTTAGACCCCCACGAGCCGATCAGAGTTTGTGGGAACCAGACGGGGTGCATCCACGGGCAGCAGACAGTCTCTGAAGCGGCCCGTATCGGATGAGACTGATGTGTGCGCTCCACTACAATGTGACACAACTCTACATTAAAAAAGGAACCAGATCTTATCGTCAGGCTACAGCATGTGAAGGTCTGAGGTCAATGTTTTGTCCCGTCTGCGACAGTTCAGGAAATGGATTGAGATTCAGCTCATGGGTTAGAAATGGGACAACATTGATTACTGATAGATCACTAGATCGGCTAATGAATTCGGGGCACATTGCTTACCAATCAAAACTAATAGCACTTAAGCTGTTTCTGTTTTTCCATTGGCTTAGCAGAACCCCTGCAGCTATCGGACTAACAGTGTTCAAAATACTCCCAAATTGAAGAAGACAACAAAGGAAATGCCCCAAAACCGAACAGGAACAAGACCATTTCACTCAACAGAGTCTCACACTGCAAGTCACAGAACAAAAATGGTGTGTTTCCTATTTGACACTAATACTTGGATCCTCCCCGTGGACGCAACTCCGCTGACCCTCTTGTTTGGTCTGCGAGTGTAACAAGGAACGAATGATCACAAAGAGTGCCCAAACATGATTGCTCCCCTCCTCATGACGGACAGTAATTGGTGTTTGTTTGCTCTCGTTTCTCCCTCTTTTGTGTCGCAGGGTGGTAAAGAGTGCTATTACTGTCAGCTGATTAGTATGCCTCTTACAGCAGCTGTCAGGACCGCCTAATTAGAGGAAACTTGAGCAGAGTGACAAGAGAGGCACACACAGAGACATAGACACACACATACAAAGACATACACATGTTATTCGCAGAGTGTGAAGAACTAGACTCATTACCTCGGCCATGAAGGTTATGTTTTGGTTCCTTTCTTTTGTTAGTTTGTCTATTTTATCAGCAGGATTACAGAAAAACTGGCACACTTTCGGGGAAAATTGGTGCTAGGTCATTCATTTTGTGAAGAAGAAGTGGATACAAGCATTATTGCTCACTTTAGGGAACATTTGGCCTTGGTAGACGTCTGTTCCCTCCAAGTTGATCCTGTTAAGCGTTAGAGGCACATTTAACAGAACATCTCAAGTGGTTGTGTGATTATGCCCAGAGCAGAAATAGACTATATTAAAGGGGACCGATCATGCGAAATGCACTTTTGTACTTCTTTTGTACATGAATATGTGTCCCCGGTGTTCCAGGGAACTCACCAAGTGTCAGAAAACACAACCCTCTCTATTTTCCTCCATACCCAAATCTCTTAAAAAGGGGCTGCAACGGATCTGATACAGACTGATCCAGATTTGAACACTTCTATGACGTCACAGAATTGGCATTATGGCTATTGGGCCAACTCCACCAATCAGGAGGAGACAGCCACGGACATTGCCGTTAGAAAGCGCTGGAGAGGCTGTAGTACATATGCCAGGCCTGTAGATGGTGCTGTTCTCACATAATCAGCCCATGCAAAGACAGTGTTAAATTGAGCGAAATGAGGAATGGCTAAAATGCATGATCTGTTTGGTATTTTGAAAAATAAAAAGTATAAATATGCCTTATATAGGTATGGTCCTACACTATATTATTCAAATATAGCATGATAGGTCCACTTTAACATCTGTTCCATTGTGCTTCTTGATAAAAAAGTGTTTAGTGAATGATAACTATTTTCTTCCTTCAGTTCAGTAACAATCTGAAACCCTTTATATATCCATTAGCAATCAACACATGACATAAAGAAAAGTCAGACAGCCTTTCAAAAAGAAGGAACGCTATAATTCAGTCAGACTACCCTGTTCTGAACACCATAATCACCAATGTGTTACACTCAGTCCAGAACATATGTCTCAGGAGGTACATGATGAAATGTGTCCCTGTAATGCAGCCATTTAAGATCCTTTCTTGAACGTTGTTAAGAGCACTCTTACATTTAAAAGTATATTCAAGTCAAAACAACTTTTATTCTTCAGCTTGCGAGTAGGCTATTCACTTAAGCTTAAAACAGGTTGATAAGTAAGGGCCCTGTCTGGACAGAACATGAATATAACATAAATGGAACCTGGAAGCTAAATCAAATGCTATCCAATCATAAAATTAAATAACATTCATCTGAGGGATATCATCATTTTCTTTCAGTTTAAGTAAAAATAGAAAACATACGAGGCACCAGCATCATTTCTTAATGGCTCTGCTCTTCTAATACATCAAGCATTCACACTGAGCCCTGACAACGCTATATTCCACACATCTTAACGCACCCCAAGGTCCTCAGGGCACCAGGGAAAATTAACCATTTAATAGCAATAAATAACAGATTCTGAC